CCCTCATGTTGTTCCAACCCCGTAAGACTTTTGTTCATCTTTGGAACACAAATTAAGATATGTTTGATTAAATCTGAGAGCTGACTCACTCCTTCATAGGCTGCTAGGTAATAGAGTGCCGAAGTTACGACGTCACTCTGTAGGCCAAAATGCGGAAGTGAGTTAGCATTTTAGCACTCCCGGTTCCCTCGCTCTAAAGTCTATGGGATTTTTTAATGCGTTTTTGCTAAATCGCCTGAAATAAGGTCTGTGGTGAACAAAGCCTCTAAATATTTTCACGTTTTGACCTATGACATAGAACACACAGTTATAACCTGCTTGTGGTTTTTTAAACTTTATTTTGTCTGCTTGTGTTTTTTAAAAACATTTTATATAGGCTTCAAAATGTATAAATTTTGGATTAACTTGTAAAGATTATCTTGATAGACAAAACGTGTAAGGGTCACAACTTTTTGTTAAACACAGATCTTATTTTTTGCGATTTTCCAAAAGTCTATGGGGAAAATGCATAGCTTTTCGATCGAGGGAACCCATGCGCCGCTAGCTTACGAGTTGTCCTACAAAGTGACGTCATCACTTCGGCACTCTATTGCATCTGCCGGCCCAGAAAAGTTAGTAAAGACATCGTTAAAATAGTCCAAAAAATAAATAAATAACGACTTTATTCACCTATTCATTTTCTTCTGTGTGGGCCTCTGAGTGAGTTCACGAGAGCGCCACGATGCATGCGCGAGAACTGAGAAGATGACGCAGATAAGTCTCGATGCAGTGTTTAAAGTGGTTCTAAAGTGTGCATTTGTCCGATGTGGATGTCCGAATCGTGAGAAACCAACGAGAAAACTTAAAAGTGCCTTACCAAAGCCGCAAAATGAATGGCTTACCTTTCACACTTTCCCAATCAAATAATCTTGAGCGTCATCTTCTCAGTTTTCGCGCATGAAAATGAATAGTTGAATAAAGTCGTTATTTTTGTTTTGTTTGCGCACAAAAGGTATTCTCGTCGCTTCATAAACTTAAGGTTGAGCCACTGTAGTCACTTGGACTATTTTAACAATGTCTTTACTAACTTTCTGGGATGGCAGATATCGATTACCTAGCAGATGAAGGAGTGAGCCAGCTCTCAGATTTCATCAAACATATCTTAATTTGTGTTCCTAAGATGAACAAAAGTCTTACGGGGTTGGAACAACATGAGGGTGAGTAATTACTGACAGATTTGGCATTTTTGGGTGAACTAACCCTTTAACAACTCTAGGTGTACACTACGGTCTCAAATATTTGAACGATTCAGAAAAGATGTCAACTAAGTCATGATTTTTCAGTAGTACTGTATCCCACCATAAATTTATATTAGCATTGTTTGTTGTTTGCTTTTGGGAACTGAAGGACTGGGAACTGTGAAGCGTAACAACACATTTAACAACCGGATTGCTATCGTCTGTAGTCATATTTACACACATCATGTCCATGACCATCATTTCCCCAGGCACACACACACACTTTTCTGACTACATTAGTGAGGAAATTTCATATATCAGGTTAATAATGTTTTCTTTGTCTTAGCCTGACAAGAAACATGCGCATCATTACATTAATTAAACATTTGGCCAATTTATGAGCATTTTTAACTACACATAACATGTCTTTAGAAGTTGGTTATCATTATATTTTACTATATCAGTGAAGATATTTGGCCCTCACACCAGTCATAGGCCTACTCACAAACTGACCGACTGACTGTTGGTTGGTTAGTCAAATCTCAAACAATCAATGTGCTCTATATTTCAAACCCTCAGTCCTCTGGCAAATAACTAAATAACATATCAATCCACAACATCAGTTTAAAAGTGCCCAGAACTTAATGACAATTTACCAGATTTCTTAATTATATAATTGCAATCATCACTGTATCATTGGAGTGTCCAATGTTATTGCCAATGATTAATTTACAACAAAAAAAGCCATTTAACAACGGCAGCCCTCACATTATGTTAATATTCATAATAACACTTCATAAAAAAACTATTATTAGTCTAAATAACCCCGAATATGTGTATACCTGTATGCTGGATTTTCTTGAAAGGAACATCTAAAAAGACCGTTTATGATGACGAGGGCATATTTATTTATGAACCATTTATTAGGCGCCTGACTTCTGAAGTTTACCAAGCCACATCAGACTGTTCACACACCTCGCACTACGGCCTCATTTCACATCAAGGCGCATACAGACTTTATGTTCAAAAACGGGATGGAAACAGAAGACATGGGGCTCGAGAAGGGCTTTGAGTAAGTTATAGACGGGCACAATCTTAACGCATTAAGGCTACAGTGCAATTTTGAACTTGCAAAATATACGTGCAGATACGTGTGACGTATTAACCTAAGCGACGAAAAGCAGCCTGCAGTTTGTGTAAGTTTATGCATTTGGGACTTTATATGTTATTTTGTGTCTTACTTTGAAGCTGATGACACGATGATGGCAGAGTCAGACACTCTCGCGATCGTTCTCAACAATAACCAATAACTAGGGCGAGCACGTAATGAGTAGAGGAAGACGAATAATACGAGTTGAAGCTGCTATTAGCGAGCAGCGCCCTCTGTTGGCCGAAACAGACGCACGACAGGCTCGACTTTCCGTATTACAGTGGTCCCGCCATTGTCCACAACAAAGGCCCCACTGCTTTTCCAGTTGTTTGTGATTTAATAGATGGGTATGATGGGAAATTAGGCCTACTTTTGAATATATTTTACATAGCCTACAATTTCTACATGATAAAACATTTTAGAGCTTGGAATAACCAACCTCAAAAAATTAATTATGCGCCTATCATAAAATGCAAAAATACCCATGCAGTTGAAGGATCTAAAGATTCTCAATAACTCGCTCTCTCTCTCTGTGTGTTTTATTTTTAATTTACTGTGTTGTATTTTCTTTTCTTTGTTTCTATATGGTGTAATTATACCATTTTCCATTGTTTTCCCCTCTGTTAAGAGTTTTGGGGTACCAGACAAGACTTTCTGTTAACAGGTTTTACTGGTTTTGGGCACCAGACAATACACACCAGACAAAAAACGGATCTTTTCACAAGATCTGACGTCCGGGGTCGGATTTGACATTTCTGACACGTGCATTCCATCCGATCTAACAGTTCTAAAATTTAAGGGGGTCAATTAAAATAAGAAATCTCATGAGTTTTAGTTGTTTTTAGATTAATTTAATGCTTGTTTTCTCTTTATTTTAAATCATTTAAGCCTTAAGGCCCCCTTAGAAGTTTCCTGAGGCGCCCTATGTGCCCCGGTCCCCTGGGTGAGAATCACATTCACTTTCATATTGAATATTATTTCACGTTGTGGGCTGAACATACAAGTAAAAACAAACACAACTGCCTCTGAAATGAACACGGGAAATGTTTTATTTGTATTTTTATGGAGTCACAACCAGATGTTCTTGTCATGCCACTTCATTATTGGTTTAAGGACCTGATAATAAACTTGACACACCATGTGTTATTGTAGCAATTGCATAAACCACATTAGATTTACTCAATACTTCATAAATGTTTTTGTATTGTATCTCAGCTAAGCAACAGATTCAGGAAAGTAACAGGTTTTTCACCGGAAGGATTTGTAACCTCAGATCATGCTAAATTCTGCACTCATGCTTGAGTTTGACTGTGAGAAGGCGCACAGACACCGGTCTCATCTCGTATTCATTGCTCTTAAGCAGACCTTGAAGATCTACTCACAGATGAAGCGGCCGGCAGCGGAGTAATGTGTACGTAATGGTGCGAGATGGTCAAAGTCATGTATACCGAAATGCATTTGATCGTGTGGCGCTGATAGTCCCGAGACCCCCGCTCAGCCCCGCTCTTATCTTGTTCTTCAAGGAGCCCATATTTCATTATCAGCGCTTCCGTGCGCTCACTCCCAAGCCCCAATCTGCTCAGAGGATATCTCTGTGGGCTTCGCACTCAGCAAGCCTGAAATGGAAGAATGCTACTATACTAGTCTTCCTATTTATGGAGAATATATAATGTATACATTATATGCACAGAAACCAAATCTCCTTTTCCATATCTGACCACCAGGGCTCCAAAATTTGACCTCACCGAGAAGGCCATGGGGCATTTATCGACGGGATAACCTCCAGCCTCTGCTGTCAAATTTAACATCATTTATTATTTCTCAGCTGCAGACAATACTACAATAACTATGGCAAACAGTTTTGGCAAGTGGTTTTCAATGACATTCACGATTGCTGGATAAGGATTTTTAAAAATAATTTATTTGATAGAAATCACACGTAGCCTACCACGTAAAGCAATTTCTAGTTGATTTAGTCAATGTTTTAGAGCTGAACATTCAATATAATTGGTCAATATAATAATTTCCATGACTGGGAACCCTGATCATTCACTATTACACATGGGTAACGGAGTTAAAAATGCACTTTATTAATTCTAATTTCCAATTGTATGTTTGATTTAATTTTAACCATATTTTAATTATCATTTAATGATTTGTTGGGTATGAGTTAATATAGTCCACACACTCAACATGGACTGCAGAGCCTCCGTTATTTACATTGCACAGAAACAGCGCGAAAAGAAAAAGAGTTGAATGAGATACACTATAGCCTACTGTGATGTGATTTTTGTGTATGTATGGTAGAGGTCGTCTCCTGACAACAGTGTCTTGTGATGCTGAGGAGCAGAGGTGCAGATAGAAGGAAACAGTAGACCAGAAGCCGATTAATCTTGGAAAACCCGTCAGCTGGAGTTGTCTGTCTTCATACCCTGTCCACATCCGTTACATGCATGGGCTCTTTGTGGAACTAGATTGTTTTGCTTCATTACATTTATTTGTTACTACATTTTATTGTACAAAGAACATCAAAATGATACTATTTTGGTGGAAACAATGAGTACATTCATTTCATCAGATTCAAATGAAGGTCGTTTACAAAAAAACAAGAGCTCCTGAGAAGGTTCTGTATCAACAGGAAATAAAACAGTTTTATTGAACATTTGTGTATATGAAGTTATATAACAACAGTCAGAAACTCCACAGAGTGAATCACTACACAAAGTGAAACGAAATTGTAAAACACCTCATCAAAAATGAAGGTATACACAGCAATATAACTGTCGGCTCGCCGCTGGGACGAGCAGCATGGCAGGAAAAAACACCCCGAACAGTTCTACAAGATTACAGAGAAAATTTCCACACACAAAAATACTCAAGCAGGCAGTTGATATACACAAAGGCAACTAGGATCTCCCTACAGCATCAGATTCTAATTCTTTACACAGCTTTTTCTTGAAAGGTGGCTTTTCGTTGTAGCAGAGTATCAGAGGGTTGTATGCATGTGCTGTACTGTACGTCGTTGAACGCCAAGCGATAGGGCTTTGTTTTTTTCTTTTTCCAAGTCGTCGGAGCTGTTTGCGTGCTTTGGTAGGCTTTAGTAAAAGATAGCGTTGCTTTGCAGGACTAGAAATGGCTTTTTCAGACTACTTTACAAACCTCTGAGGTGCAACGAGCAATGCTGTCTTCTACTGTACGTCCGGCTCTACACCTAACGTGCAGCACCTGATAGAGCGATAACACCCTTTTGCCATACGAACCGAGTGTAGTATTGTATATTCAATTCGTGACTCTAAAAACGGCATTTTATGCTTGTTTCATAAACGAGCCTCTTGTATTAAGATATTGTAGACAACGAGAGTACATCAGTTAACATAGGAGTAGTCGAGGAATAATATTGTAGGCCTACTTATAGTTGCAATTACACGTTCTGGAGATCTTCTCTACAGGTTCGATCTCTCCGACAGGGTAAGAAATCATATTCAGCTATGAATAAAACACATGAATCAATATTTATTGCGACATTGAAATGAAAGTGCCAACTATACTTGGTCCCACGATAAAAAGTAGAAACAAAACACACAGTCCATACTGTACATTCTGAGTTCCATAATAAATATAAAATGGTCTTCAATAGGGCACTAAAGGAACGATAACCAGGTAATAGTCATGAGTGTAATCATAACAAAATGGTACAGCCAATCATATTAATAGTACAACAGATAACAAGATTGATACAATTCTCTTATATCCAGGTGATCTCAATAATGAGGAAATTATATCAGGACAAATATAAAAATATATACACCTATTCTGAAAGGGAAGGGTTTTATATATAGCCTATATATATATATATATTTATTTATATATATATAGAGAGAGACAGATAGATAGATAGATAGATAGATAGATAATCTCATATTGGGGGGTACATCCTATATATGTTTACCCAAATGTTTGGATGGTTAAATCTGTGTGCAGGAAAACTCAACAGGAAAAAGGGAGGAATCCTTAACAAGTTTACAGATGTTCCAAACTACACACGTGTGCTGTGACCTAACCAGACTACGGTCGATGGATGCGTCGCCCCCACTGAATAGGGTTGTGATTTTTTGTCTTTTTTTAACCCCTATCAAGTGACACCGCCCCTTTAAAGACTAAGGGAATGAACATACAAGTATTGCACAGTGCTCAACAAAATGCTGTGTGAATTGACCTGCTTGCGCGCTCGGACGGCAATGGTTATTAGAAACTGACGATTTCTCGCTGGCGCACCCTCTTTCGTGCTCTCGTCTTGTGATAGGGGGATGGTAGCACAACATCACTATAGTACAAGATGGCCGCTACCTACTGAAAACTACAACGCTAAGCACACACCGCAGTCACAGTGATACACAACTCAGTCCCTAGAGACTCCTATGGAATGACAAACAGCTTTTTTTCCTCCTTTTATTTTTAAGTAGTAGTCACCTACACAATAACATTGCAAACACTTAGAAACTCCTCCTGAAGCTAGCATCTAGTGTACGTGAGAGGTTCCTCCAAGATAACTCATGGTTTCAATGGACTAAACGTCTACTCGTCCTCTTGTTAGACCCGTAGTAAAGGACATTAGAATGTAATGTTATCACCTGTACAGACCATTAACTTTTACGGTTATTGTTAAGGATTCGCTAATGCTCATGGCGTCCGAACCGGCCCGCTTTTAAATGAACGGACCGTGCGAGCTGAGCCGCAAGTCAACGTCGTCGCTGTTTCCCAGCAAGCAGTTGTCCGTTCAGAGACGGTACAGTGCAAAACAGTAGCCACAGGGGAAGGGATTGGCAGTTAAGCATGGCTAACTCTATCGTCACTGTCAGAAGGCAACAGAAAGCAAAAACTGCTGTTTAGGGCACCGTTGCGGCCAAAATACATTGTTCCCCCGATGAACCGAAGCTACGACCACTATCCGAGCGGAGTGTGCGTGGAGGGAGGAGTCGCGTACGCCTCCTACCTCCCCAAAAACAATGGCAGTGTTTAAAAGCTCGTCTCTCCTCCTCATCGACTAGTCGGACCGACCGCTTTGAAAGTTGCCGTCCCTCAAAGTTTGATTGAAGGCAAGGGAGTCTCTTGAAACAGACGCCCCGGTGTAAATAAATCCCCCCGTAACCCGGCCTTTAGCAAAGATCGTAAAAAAAATCATGCAGTTACCAAAAATATTCAGACGCTGACTTAATCTAAAAAATAGTTGTCTTAAAGCTAGAGTCAAAACTCTTGGTTTCATTTTGTTGAGGCTGAACCACAAATTCGTCAACGAAACGAGTCCAACGACAAGAAAGCAAGTGATTCACAAAATCAAGCTTCAAGGAAACAATGGCTACAGCTTGAGACTGTCCCATTAATTGTCAATTTCCAGTTTTCGTGAAGGTGCCAAATCAGATCCGGGAATCTAAGGACCGAAAACAAGAAAGAAGCAAACAGGGGACCCGTTCTACTAAAAGTTAACAGCATCACCGTATTAGAAATCAAAAGAAAAGGCTGATTGGTTTTCGTCAAGTAAGAAGAATCCCTTCCGTTATAGAGGTTTAAGCAAAGCGTACAGGTCCTCAGTTTGATAAATTAGTACAAAAAGTTTTTACGCAATCATGTGCTTGTATAATTGCCAGCAGCATATTACATTTATACCATGAAACCATATTAGTTAATGGCCGTGGTGTTCCGTGTGTCTTTAACGTGTACATCTGTATGCTTTTTTTTGTTTGTTTTTTGAAGTAAACATGAAGCGCAAACCGTCCTTTACGAAGTGAGTGTACCTCCACTAGCGTCTTGCAGGTTGGAATTCTTTAGCTCGTAAATATTTATATAGAGATATATCGTATATTTTAGTGGAATGCAATAAGGTAAAATTCTTAAATCCCGTTATATATAATATTGGCTCTTCTATGTCTGCATTTACATCATTTAAAATAGAACATCTTATTAAAAACATCAAGATATACACAGATTAGGAAACGGGTAACAACATACAAACACATAAACTAGAAATCATTTTCATCTGCATACTGATATATACACCTGTGGTATAATAAATTCCTCCAGTCATGCGCTATCTATACAGATCATATTGCTTAAAAGAAGGGGGCATTTGGTCGGGGACTTTTAAGGTCGTGGATGGAGGTGAAACAATAAAGGACAGAGAAAAGTTTATCGACGGAAGGAAGGAAGGAAGGAAGGGGGTCGAAACTGACGTAACAACACAACATCTCAAGGGGGTGGTCCGAGAAGGCGGTTTTCTTAGACACAAAATTAGAAGTGAGGGTGCATGGATCCTTATATCACTGAGGTATCTACACGCACTGGGTAAAGAGCACTACACGGGTGGGGTTGTGGGGAAGGGGGCGGGGCGGGGCGGGGCTTGGGCTGCTCTATTTTTTCTGAGCTGCCAGCTGGGCATCCACTTCCTCCTCCGGCTTGAGCACGTGCCACTGCGCGATGGGTCTCCTCGGGTTGGCCAGCATATCTGACCAGTGACGGAGCTCGGTGCCTGAGCTGTTCAAGCCCACAAACACTTTGCCGATGGCATCGTTCTTGCCAATCTTGTCATAGTCCAGAACAGTTATAACAACTTGAACTTTCTGTAATAGAAATTAGAGACACACAATTATAGACGTAACGCAAGACTTTCACTTTGTTTGAACATATGCCAGGTTATAGTTCCTCCAGCACTTGATGAATTATTACTTCTTCCGATCAAAAAAATCTAATTCTGACTCAAAAGAAAGGGTGGCAAGGAGTTTATTTAAATATGCCTGGCAGAGCACTTAATAAGCACATGCACATGCACCCCTGCAGAATAAAAGTATTCATTCTTTAAAAAACAACAACATTACTGTTGCTGGACTTGAGTAACATTGTTTAACAATGACTGAAAATACACATAGTGGTGCAATAGTTGACGCCATTGAATTCCACCACAATTATCTCAGTGTGACAGTCTATTCAAGGGCCTGTTACTCTGCGGCAGAGTGAGTCTTTGAAGAGCATGGCGGCAGATACCAAAGAAAGGCCAGCGGGTGCTACCAAAGAGGTCCGGACAACTCGGTAAATTGACTGCGAGCACACAACTGAACGGTGTGAGTTCGGGGTCAATGGCTCGCTCTTAGCTTGCTTACTAGGAGCCTGATCCGCCCGCGCACAAAATGCGAGCAGACGATATGAATTAGTGTCTTCAGAGCCCTGATTATCCTTCGATCCACCTCTCTGCTTGGATTTCACTGACCGGTGAGAACAGGCCTGGGGCTATTGTTCTCGGAACCAGAGCTAATTTGCCATATAACGAAATATTGAGGGATGTACAATGAGCGAGGAACTGTTAGTTCGGGGTAGCAGCTTTTAGAAACGTCTGCTGCTTGGTGAGAATGGGGAGGGAGGAAGGCCTCTCTGGTTAACACAACCCCAAACACACTTTGAATTCAAAGCAGCTCAAAGCATAAAATGCATCCTCTAAACTGTGAAATGCTGAATCAATTTGAAGCAATTTTACTCTTGTTGCACTAGCAAGCATCGTACCCATTTTATTCTCCAACTAATTAGCAACTACATTTTTTTAAAAGCCTCATGCCGAGCCTTATCGCATTTCACAAGTTTCTTTTCGACACAGTGTTCGCACAATTAGTTTTCGACAACGATTAAATTGTGAATTTGCGTCGGATTTGCCGTTGCCATATGCAAGCTACGTTTCAGTAACAAAGTAACAAAGACAAATTTCATTACCTGGATTTGTTCGAATGGCACTTCGAAACTGAAAGACTCATTGTAGTAAGGGTTAAGGGTGTTCTTTTTGATTGTCGTCTTCTTTTTCTTCAGCCGCTTGCCGTTCTGCATCAGGTGGATCTTGACGTAGGGATCTGAAAACACACAGGAACAGGACATAGCATGAGAAATTCTTTTTCACTCACTTTTTTGTTGTCCCCCAACTTATTAAGGATAAAGGTTTCCACAGTCTTGGAAAATCTGGATATATGAGGGAATTTTAAAAGTGTGATTTCTACACCTGGTCATAAAAAGTGAAAACCATAAAGAACATTCAGTTTTTGGAATAAAATAATTGATTTACTTTTAATTTTTTGCCACTCCTAGTTTCTGTAAATATTTATTTATCTTTTATTCTATATATTCTTATTTTTTTCCCTTTCATCATTCTGCTTTTGGACTGTCAAGCTTTTTCTGTGAAAGCTACTTCCCACCGGAATACTCCGCCAGATGATATTAAGAGGTGTCCGTCGATTGGTCTTTTTTTTTTTTATAATATTTTTTTTTTCCGTTATTTTTCCAAAAGCAAGATAACAACAACAAAAGAAAGAAGAGAAAAAGAAAAAAAGAACACACAAACAAAATAAGTGTAATATACTAAGATTTCCACAAAAAGGATATTCTTTGTTACATTAAAGTATTGAATCACTTGAACCCAAGAAATATATTCTTATACATTTGAATAGATCATATACAATCCCAATATGAGAGGAAGAAAAAAAAACAAAAAAAAAACAACAACAAAAAAGACCCACTACTGCAACACATTGACCCAATTCTTGTAAAATGTCTGCCCAAGGTCACTAAATCGCCACTGTCTTTATTTTATTTAGTTAACCTAAATCTGGTTGTATAGGGGTTATTTAATCAATCCAATCTCTCCATAGTACTGAAAACAGCTGTGACTTTAGTCTTAGAGCATAGGTTAGCTTCTCCATTGTAAAGATATCATGTACTATGTTCTTCCAGTCTTCGCGAGTGGTTGCAGCCAATTTCTTGTAATTGCTTTCTTGCTTGCTATTGTTAGGATTCTGAACAGGTATTTGTTTGGAAAATCACTGCTAATCAAACCCAAATACATCACCTCAAAACTGAGAGGAATTTGTATCTTTAGAATTATTTCTAAACAATTATGTATCTCATACCAATATTGATTAATAGAAGGACAACTCCAGAAAATGTGAAAGTGATTTGCCTTGTCAACCCCACAACTTCTCCAACAATCGGATGGTTGTTGCTTGATCTGGGCAGGTGTGGAGAAAAACCTAGAAACACCCTTCCACGCGAACTCTCTCCAGAACAAAGAATATGTAGTTTTCCATTGTGACTCGCATATGCTTTCCCACTCCTCCACCGAAAGACTCAGATTACCTTCTCGCTCCCATCTGCTCTTTATGTATAATGTGTCTACCTGCTTAGCTTGTTGTAGCCCACCGTACAGCTTTGAGATTATGTTTTTAGACATCTGATTGATAGGCTAAAAAAAAAAAACCTTTAATAACCCATTTTCTCCTTTCCTTGCCACATCTCCTTTAGCATGTTCTAACGATTGGTCTTTTTAAAACCAAACTTAAAACAACAACAACTTACCTTTTAAGCACAGATAGTGTTTGTTATGTAACTGCTTTTATAATATACACTCATATCTTGTCAAAGAAAGAGAGAAAAAAATGTGTTTGTGTACAAATGCAAGATTTTTGTTGTTATTTTATTATTGTGAGGTTTGTTAATGGTGACCTGCCAAGGGACTGCGAATGAAAATTAGCCATAGGCTAAATCTGGCACAGTGCATTAAATGGAAACTTTTGTGTTAAATATCGCACATGATCCCTTTCCAAATTAATAAATAAACTTAAATCACTATATATATTGTTTCTGTGCACGCTGGCACACGACATCTGCAGCCTCTACTGAAGCTCCGCCACAGAGCAGATCTCTAGTGGTACGTGTTAGGATAGTCCAAGCTTTTATTTACACATGGCAGCTGTGTGCCCTCCAGTCTCTTCCCTGTGATATTACTGCCATTCAGGCACATCAATCTCTGCCTGTGCCTCAAAGCACTATCATTTCCAGCATCTATATTCTGTCCCCATCATGCATCTCACTGATTCATACTCACCTTTCTTAGAATCGCTTTTTGATTGAAACCTCACAAAACAAGTTAAGGATGAAATATCAACAAAATATCTGATTTTACGCCTATACACCTTCCATTTTGAAAAGGGGAGCAAATGCGTGTATTTTATATTATACTGCGTCTGTAAAGAGCGGTGGCATCATATGCCTTCCTGAGCCTTACAATAAAAAAAGGATATAGCAGCGGTTATTAAGGTGAGTAATGGTTGAACTTGACAGATTTAACTGTTTCAGAATTACCTTTTGTCCAACATGTAATTTCATTTCACCTCTTCTCTCCCTGACACTCTTATATGACAGGAATTTCAAAACATCTCTGGCAATCCCATTTTTCAACTAATCCAAATACTCTATCTCTGTGAAAATTTTTTAGAGTAGCACATTCCATACAGAGAGAGAGAGAGAGAGAGAGAGAGAGAGAGAGAGAGAGAGAGAGAGAGAGACTTCGAAGGCGTGCTGAACTCCATACCCCTACCATATTAGGAGCAGGGCAGCACAAAATCTGTGGCATGCGGTTTTTGTAAGTGTAGATCTTACATCTCATAAGGTGAGGGTGTGTAAGGATGACCATTATGCATACTGTATATAGTATTAGGACTGTAAAAGATAACATGTTAATCGAAATACATTTTAAGCTACATATGAATCACACGTATTCCAGTATATTAGAAGATGTTTTAACAGTGAAATATTTTCTCCCCATCTCCTTCACTCTTTATAACTTTGTCATCATGTCATTTTCACTTATGTACATCACGCACATCACATTTTTCATACAATATTTAATACCATTCAAAAGTTTGGGGTCAGTAAAACTTTCTAAAATAAATAAATCCTTTTATTTTGCATGGATACATTAAATTGATACAAAAGACTTTTACATCAAAAAATTCTATTTAAAATCAGTGGAGTTTCTATTCATCAAAGAATCCTAAAACCTGTCACAGTTTCTACTAAAATATGAAGCAGCACAATAATTTTACATCGATAATAATAAAGAATATTTCTTGAGCAGCAAATCAGCATATTATACTGATTTCTGAAGGATCATGTGACACTGAGGAGTGAAGACTGGAGTAATGAGTGCTAAAAATTCACAGGAATAAATTACATTTTAAAATATATTAATATAGAAAGTTATTTTCAATTGTAACAATATTTCACAATATTACTAGTTTTTGGAGTATTTTCTATCCAATAAATACAGCTTTGGTGATCATAAAAAAGTGAGCAACATGGAAAAATCGTACTAAAAGCTTATTACGGTATAGTGTACATATATTTTTAAATCAAGATTTTAAATTTATGGAATTATGGTAGCACTAACATGAACCTGTTCATCCATGTACTGTGTTGTACTATGGATTAGGATATTTATTATTCATGTTTGCTGCCATGGCGAGAGTTGAACTAATCATGTGCATAGACTTTCTCTCGAAATTCTTGCATATTAAGGAATGATATATAATGCAAATACTGTTTTTGTGACTGCAAACTGTGTTAATAATTAATTGATATGAAGTGTATAGGTTGCAAATGTTGTACGGCACTTAAAGAGCTTTTGTATGGCTTTTATGCCTCTAAATGGCACAAAATCTCTTTTAAATGGATTTCTATGGTATTACCCATAAAAAAAGGTCTTTCAGATACAATGAAAAAGTCTGCTTTCATATTTCCCTGATTCATCCATGGAGCTTCACACTCTGACCGTCGGATCACATTTGGATTGAACACTGATGGATTTAATTCAGATTATGCGAGATGAAACGATATATTTCTCATAATAGAGCAGCACAGCACCTCCTGTTGAACTTACACTAACACTGCATGATCTGAAGAGCTCTGGCTGCTCGCTCCATCCACTTTTAAAATGGTGAAAAGCATGTCTATTTATGATGTTGAACTTAAACAGCACTTCTCCGGGCCTATAACACTATTAACGGTGGTGCTTTTTCCCGGTTGCTTGGCAACAGAGTGCCTGAGGTTTGAGATTGTTTGGGAAATCTGTGGTAGTCTACACTCACACAGAAGCCAAGCTAGAAGTTTGTGGTTCAAGGAGTTGACAGTGCTTGTAATGACTTCTGTTAATGGTTCATATAGTCACTTGAGAAGCTCATCTAAATAGGATACTGAAAATCCAAGTGAAAATAATACTGGCCCTTGTTTCTGATGTGGTATGTTTTCATTGGCTCCGGCACATACTGTAGGCATGCAGTCCCGTATGGACTACAGACTCATAGGTGTCTCCTAGTGGTGGACAGCATGTACTGCAATGACCCACAACTATAGAAATGCTATTAATAGCCAATTTGGTGGTGATTTGCTCAAATACATAAACATGACTATTAATAGTCTATGAAAAAGTATCTGGAAACTTAAGCCACACTTAATATGTATACATATTCTTTTAGAAGTGTTGTTATTTAAAACTATTAAAATCATTTTCTTTTAATTGAAATTCAGCTAAAATAAAACGTTACATTACATTAAAACTTACATTAAAACTTACATTAAAAATTGAAAAGTTACCTTGGCTGAAATAAAATAAATAAAACGTTTAAGTAACTAAATATTAATACTAAAATTACTAAAACTAAAACAAAAATAAAGGTCAAAAGTTTGGAAACATTACTATTTTTTATGTTTTTAAAAGATGGTCATCAAGCCTGCATTTATTTGATCAAAAAACAGTATTATTGTGAAATATTATTACAATTTAAAATAATGATTTTCTATTTCAATATACTTTAAAATATTATTTATTTCTGTGATGCAAAGCTGAATTTTCATCAGCCATTACTCCAGTCTTCAGGGTCACACGATCCTTCAGAAATCATTCTAATATGCTGATTTATTATCAATTTTGGAAACAGTTGTGCAGCTTATATATATATATATATATATATATATATATATATATATATATTGTATATATACAAAAAAAACATCTTTGATGTAAAGAAAGTAAAAAAAGAACAGCATTTATTTAAAATAGAAATATTTTGTAACAATATACACTACTGTTTTTAAAAGTTTGGGGTCAGTAATTTTTCTTTCTTTTTTTGAAAGAAATTATATATATATATATATATATATTATATACATATACTGTATATATATATATAATAAAAATGACAAATGCACATAACAAAATGACTATAACTTAAACTAAAATGAAAATGAATAAATACTAACAGTATATAAATACTAGTAACTAAATAATAATAATAATGTTACTAGTTTACTAGTTATAATACACTGCATGTTAGATACAAAAAATAAAAACAAGTGCAATATGCAATCAAACGATAAAAAAAAAAAAAGGTAAAAAAATGTAGGTAAAAAAAAAAGGTAAAAAGTAGGTTCCCCTTAAACTTACACGTGTGCGTTTAGGAATAGGTGTGTTTCTTCAAAATAAATGTCACTTGATATTGACATTCCAACATTTTTAAGTTGGGTTTAAGTGTCCATATGCTTTCGGAGACTTTGAAATTGTACCTGGAGCTAAAGCAATACAACATGGTACCAGCAACACCAAAGTCAAGAGTGCAATAACCGATAAACTGTATAACCTGAATGCAATGCAAGCATCTCCCAAATGCATTGAAAATAAATGTAAATTTGTACATATATGAAAATACAATTCATAATCTAAACCACAAATATCGACCTAAAAGCACATGGAAGAAAAGTACAGAGATTGTTGTGAATTAATTCAAATTACATTTATTTTAGCTGCAACAACCACGTCTTGTGTGATTAGGGAGAGTAAACAGGATTTGAAAGGAGAAAAGGATAAATTATAGTGTTCTGATGAGTCGTCCTCCCTGTAGCTGAATCACAATGGAAACAGTCACTAATTATTGGCATGATCCATGCGGGCCTATTGTTTCTAATCATGTGACGGCTCTTTGGACATGCTCTCCAGTGATTCCTTTGGGAGAACGACTCCCCCGTAACAACAATTAAATCTGAGCCATTTTCACGAACTTGGAACGAGAAGAAAAACAGAGAGAGAGAGAGAGAGAGAGAATGCAGGGACAGAAATGTTTTTCTAGTACAATCAGTGGGAACACAGAGCGCTTTGTCAAAAATGTTTATTTCAAATGCAAACCGTCGGAGTCTGGCAAAATCCCAGTAATTGACAGAGAAAGCACCCTTAACTGCACAATTTTCGCACAGGATTTGATCGATCTGGCAAGCGGCCATTCAACAAGCACAACGATGTAACGCGATAGGAGGTTTGGGGGTTATAGTTATCACATTGTGAAACCTATAGTCCTCCAAACACAAGCCCATAAATAGAACTGTTAACAGTGTTAATTTCATCAGAGCTCTGGAGTACCTTATGAAACGTGACTGACAGTTTATAGCCGGCTTTAATCTGGATTGCTAATGGACCGGGGAGAGCGAGAAAGTTTGTTCTCAGCTCCGCTGCTAATAGCTGAGCGATGAGAAGTAAATGTCGGGTCTCTTGGCTCCCAGCAGTGGGTCTGGAACTGATGGCCTGCGACTGGAGGCGAGAGGGTGGGGAAGGATAGATGGACGAGGCAGAGGCCGTTTTTCATAAGTGGTTACAGCACAGATGAGGGCTGATTTCTGAATGCCGAGATGTAAATTTACTCGGCGAAAATGTATTCATGTATTCACCAGAGCCGAATATTACTTCAGCTGATAAAGCGCAGCTCTCCGTACTGCCGCAGGTTTGAGAAGTGTCGGATCATTTCAAGCCACATTTCGACGCCCTTGGGATTTGTAGCTGTGAATGACTGCGTATGCATTACATAATTTTAAAAGTGAAAGATATACTAAAAGTGACTTTGCATTTACATACAGACAGCATTGAAAAATGAAACCGTGTTAAGGACAACATGAAAGGAGCATTCACGATGCATTTAACTCCCATAACGCGTCTTTCTTAGTGTATTCAGCCGGAAATTATGTAAAGCAGGAATCTGATTAGATGCAAAGATGTTAGGCTATTATTGTAACTGCATGGTCTAATAAGAAGAAAGGTCTAAGAAAGTGATTATATTTTAAAGAACAATTAAGAAAAACATGTTATGTCTTTATGATAATGTGCACTATAAAATCAGCACCTTGAAAAGCTCACTGTATAGGCCTCTATATAATACTATATGCATCCTATATGCAAGCCTGACGCATCCAATATGATACTCAACAATTTTTTTGTCTTTGGTTAAAGAAAATGAAATTTCTGACTATTATTTCACATGTCAGGCATTACAAACAGGATCCATTTTGATTTCACAGTGTATGGTTTATCGTGACAGCTGGCAACAAGAGAGACAGTCCTAAACTGTCACATAATGGCACAAGCCAGTAACTGGACTCACCTGACAGGCCACCGACATCCATCTTCTTCAGGTTCTTGGCCTCCAGAACGACCACGGTCAGTTTGCCAGCAGTGGGCACATACCGCAGAGAGAAACAGATGTCACCCAGCTTCTCTTGCTGCGAGTGGTAGAGAAAAGTTCAATCAGGGACATCATTGTCAAGGTAAATAGAAAAACTGAACCTGAAAACCAGGTCAAATTTATTCACTGATTGAATTCTCCAACAAAAATAGTGCTTAAGAAGAAAAGCCGAGAACCAAACATCTTCAACTAAAATAATTTAGCTAGCACACAAGAGGCGTGAAATATTCCTCTTTACACAAACACTTTTAGACTTTCTCTCACTCAACATGATTGATAAGAGAAATTGAAATGAGGAGCACAGCGTTTGAAGTCTTTCAGTCTGATTCATTTTCCACAAATGTAGTTGCAGGGGTAAACACATTGAAAATACATTTACATGTACACACATTCCATTAATATTTCAGGAGCCATTCTCATAAACATGGGCGCAAACATACGTGACATATAGAAAACAACAGGAAGGGGTAAAAGGTTACATCACTTTACTTTCGACTGGCTGATGCCATTTTCCACACAATCAATTTTCTGTCAATTAAAAGGTCATCAGAACAAAACAAAATATTTCACTGCTTAATTAAATGAATCCTACAAGGTAAATATGTTGAATCGACTGCTGTTTGACTGAAACATCGAATTATTTACACAGAACAATTTTTTTTAAGGAAACCAGGAATTGTGTAGGGGGAAAAAAAAGAGCAAAGAGGACTGAACTGAATGGAATTGCAAAAAGCTGCGGTCTTTTGCAGTTGACTTTCATTTTATTTTTTACTGACACTTAAAGTGCCATCCTCAGGACACCACTCTAGAGATCCTTTGGTAAAAGTCAATACGCTCCAGCTTTCTCAAGCGTTGCTTGAAGTACTTTGCTAGCTCATCGGACATGGAGTGTTACAGCAGCACAAACTCAAAGAGCAACCTTCAACGTATGTAGATAGCCTTCAACTCTCTGCCCTCAGCAGGCTTTTGACAGCATCATAATTAACCTTTACATCAAGGAACCGTGACACACAAAAACAAGGTTTCCATAGAAACCACAGCTTAAATGCTATATTCCATGACATTTACCATGAAAATTGAATCTCCCCAACCACTACTTGCAAAGTCACACTTTTTTATAAATAAAACAATGGCACGGGCCAGCTGATTAACTGACATTTCCATTGAAGATAGATAGCCCTCAAGTCTTGCACCTTTACAGTAAGTGAATTTCCATGCAGCTCCAGCTAAATGATATTTACTCTTGTTGTGTGCAACCTTTAAAATATACGAGTTAACATTTGGGAACATTTCAAACTTATTTGGGGCATGTGTTAAAGAAAAGCACTGAGAGTATAATGCTTTAAACGTTTCAGTCTTTTTACCAAATCTTGAACATTTTTATTTTAAATATATAATATATTACATTTATATTCCTACATATAAAATCTGTGAATACTTATAATTTAAGTAATACAAATGATGTTGTATTATTTTACACAAAGTTGGTCTCCACATGTGGGATGCCATGTTGAGATCACATGTCTAGAAAAACAAAACAAAAAAGATTTTGACGCAGTCACTTAATAGTTGCTACCAAGTGGTATAACAATGTAAACTTAACAAGTCAGTGAACAAATCAATGTGAATGGATATGACTTAATATTTTGTGTGAACGGACACATTTTTGTTAAAGTCACTGGGAAAAATCACTAGTAGTGAACAACTGAATTGGCAAAATTTCTACGCTTAAGAAGGTCAGGCAATAAAAATGGAATATTCACTCATAACATAGTATTTAATCACATTACCAGGGAACAGCAAGGTTATTTCCACCCATGTGTGTTACCTCTTCTTTCTCAGCGCTCACGAGGTCCCTCCACTCCTCAGTCACATGACTAAAGTCGACTTTATTCATGGGCACCTTCACGTCTCCAATGGCGTCGTGTTTGGAGAAGCGGTCAAAGTCATATACTGTCATCATCAGTGTTTTACCTCCAAGCTCAGTGTAGGGAACCTGTAGGATGTAAACGGTGAAAATAATTGCTTGCATACCTACCAGTCTAATCTTTCTACATTCCAGTTACAGGACTTATCAACCAAGATGTTGGGATGAAACTATAGGACAATTGCAGGTGTGCAAGACAAAGACAAAGAGAGAAAGAGAGAGAGAGAGAGAGAGAGAGAGAGAGAGAGAGAGAGAGAGAGAGAGAGAGAGAGAGAGAGAGAGAGAGAGAGAGAGAGAGAGAGAGAGAGAGAGAGAGAGAGAGAGAGAGAGAGAGAGAGAGAGAGAGAGAGAGAGAGAGATTTGATTCTTGATTGCCTCCAATTGAGCTGTTTTTCAGACAAAACTCATTATCCCGAAGGACTTGTTCCAACATGGCGACAAACTGCTTGATTGGCCGGGAAAGAGATAAGACCCAAGGGTTGCTATTTTGTCCTTGACGCTATCACACACACCAGCTCTCCAGTGTCTTCATTTCAATAATGAAGGCACTTGTGATTACATGTCTCTTGATGTTGGCGTGTGGTTCATTTCTCATTCTCAAGGTACCATGTCAGTTGAAATTGTGCTAGACTAAACGAGAAAAAAACAGGTAAACAGTCCTCTACCCCTTTGGTTGGCTCAGTTATATTGACATTTTTTAAGAATTCAACACTTCACTTAGCAATTTATTAGAAATTTAGAGGTCTGACTGCGGTAATTACACAAAAATGATTTTCTAGCTGCATGTCGTCTCATAAAAACGAATCGGAAAGCTCTACTGAACATTCAAAATAGAAATTATGCTCCTTTCTGGATGACAGACACCTGCAGGAGTCCATCCTCACATTTGCGTGTAATTACTCCAATGCCTCGTGTCTTGTTAATAGACCAGATAAAGTAATCAGAAATAACTTGATCTACTGTATGAGTAGAATGTGAACACATAGATCCAATGGCAAATTGCATGTTATGTGAGCATTCAACAACGTTTGATTGAGTTAGGTGTTTGTGACCTACCTTAAATGTGAATTGCTCATTGAAAACAGGATTCAGCGTCTTCCGGTGGACCTTGGTCTCAAATTTCTTCTTCTTGTCTGGAAGAAGGTAGACCTTCACGTAGGGGTCAGAAGTACCACCCATATCCATGGCAGGCAATTCCGCTGCTTGGATAATCCCCACTAAGAGCTACGAGGGGTCAAAAGTCAAAGTTTAAGAGAACATGATTAAGACCTTGAAGAGGAGCGTGGTCTTTGTCTCAACCATCATCCCACCACCATTCTGTAGATACCTCTGTTATGTCACGTAAAAGTACTGGTGTTCATTGTAAATGTTGTAATGATCTGATTCATTTAAAGACAATTGTTGCTCTTTTAACTTGTGAGCCTTGGGAATATCTGCTTAATAATATGAAACGCCACCGAGAGGTCAGTTATAGCTATGATGCTGAGGTGTGTACTTCATGCCTGGCCTGCATTACTATTTAAACAGTCCCAGCATTAAGGAGGCGATGGGGTCAGGCCATGTCAAGCGTGGGCCTCCTGATCCTATCTCCCCATCAGCTCTGATAATTGATAGGCCGGCTGGCTGGGCTGAGGTCCTGATTGACCTGCCAGTCACCATATCCCCTGCATACCCTCATGGGTCCTAGAGCCAGTCAATCAAGTTCCCATCAGCTTCCCATAAAACACCCCGTCTCTATGTCTACACAGGCACTCGGCCAAAGATCTCTCTCTCTCTCTCTCTCTCTCTCTCAAACTCAACTTGTGCTGCCACAGAAAGGACTATAGCTAGAGACAAGCATTGCCAGTGTTTCTGGTTTAGATGGTGGCCATCAGAGAACCCTGTGATTGTTCTTTTGACAAAGGAGCTATAAAGATTTTAATATCCTGTCAGGCTGTAGTAATGTTTGATTTTTGCTATTAAATGGTGATGGGTTTCAGGTCTGGACAGTTTTATTGCTTCATATTGTCATCTTGGATAAAAAAAAAAAAGGACATGTTCTGACTTCAAGAGAGAAACACCCTCCACAAACAGTTCGAACACAGACACAAACAGCAAAAGAAAAATCTTTATTTTGAAGGAAATGGTTGCAAGGTAGAAAATGCTCCACAAATAATGTCCATTGCTCCCATAATCACTGACTCCATAGAGCATTGGTGAAATTTTACAGTTCGCTATTTTTGGTCATGCTGAAATATGACCATGAACGTTGTCAGGACTGGAGAATTAAAATTTCAATATATGTTGATGCAACATGATTTAACATTTACTACTACTTGACAGGAGAAATTTTCTTGGATGTCACTGTCAGTCTCACTGGAAGTTTGCGACCCGATAACAGATGACATCTCTAAGTCTAAACGAGAAGTCTTTTGTAAGAAGCTCCTAGCTGTGAGTTAGATTGAATAGCTGTGAACAACTGCAGCAGTATGAGTCAGGGTGGATCTGTCTCTGGGTGGATTGGACATAGATGGGGGGGGTGAAGGAATATTTAGTCCTGATGAGACTTTGGCCATAATAACCTTCAATCGCTCTGCAGGCTATGAAAACTTCACACAGTTTGAAGAATCAGATTGATGCAGGACATGCTGGAGGAAGGTTCAACCGTATGACTTCACCTCAGTGGGTTCAGTACTCACAATCTCTCATCTGAAGGCTTTGAGCTGTCATCTTAAATAAGTGCTGCAATGGTTTTCAGAGAAAACCGTTTTTTTTTCAGGGGTGTTTGTTATTTGGCATAAACAGTGAGGGGTTTCTGTCCTTAAAATACCTGAGATTCATTAGAAAACAGGCCGTGATGGCAATGATTCACCTCAGTGAACGTGTATGTATTCGCAGTTCAATCCACATCTCATTTCTATCCTTATTAATAACATCGCCCTTATCTGCACCCTGTCTCTCAGTCTCCCCAAGGAGCCGCCCTGAATTCTGAGATATTGTGTTGTGTGGCTTTTGTGACTGCCATGTTTTGTCATTTTTATTTTTACTCTCTGGCTAAAGGTTCAGATTACCTTTAAACAAACCCAGAGTTTAGTTGAGCTCCCTGGAACCTTTCCCCTTTGGAAAGGGCAAGAGTTGCAGAAAAATCTCCCAGACCAAATCTCCTCTGCCTGAAGCGATACTCGGCTTGATTTAAAGTCAGACGGGAAAGAAGCACGCAGATTTCCTGCTGGCATGGAGGGTGGAGATACATGCAAGTGCGTCTGTCTAGCGGAGTGTGTGGGTCTATGGGTTGAATCTGGGTCAGGTTGATGTGGATTTCTCTGCATCTTCAGCACTTGTTTAGTGAATTTGCTCCTTTGTGTACATGCTACATTTTATACTCATATTCTTATCCCACATATGAAGGCTTTAGTTAAATTTACCAGCTATTTGTAATATTTTTGTTATATGCCAAAAGTATAGAACAAATGCAGTATCTTAAACATGTCATTCTTGTTCTTAAAACGGTTATGCCATAAAATTAACGCATTACCAGTAATTTTGTCATTTCACCACTACATTGACACCATACATTGAAAAGCTGTAATTTGTGAGTATGTGAGTATGGTGGATAATCTTGCTCTTTCAGGTCTCTGTGTAAGACTATATGCACAGCTTCAATTATCTGTCAGCCAGGATCCGACAAAAGGAAGCGCATTCATTCTGGAAGTCACTTAGCTTTCAAGCTCAACAGCCTGTAAGAGGCGCCCAGTGAATTTCGGCTTAGCCTCAGAGTTGAAGACAAGCCAGCACCCTCATTCAGTCAGTGTGGAAGAAAGCCGATTCAAACACAAATCTAACTGCTGTGATGTGCCCTTGACATTCACAGCATTTGGTGAGTTTACAGGATGATGGGCATTATTTCTTAAGTGCTAAGTCGGAATTCCTCTGGCTTTCAGAGATAGCACTTAATAATAGAGCGCAGCTATAAAAATGACTCTGAAAAGTGATTCATATTGTCAAAGTTCACTCTATCTTTGTGTTTTCAGTGTGTATTTTTTAAACACACAACTTATAGTGAGTATTCAATTATGTTAGAGTGACACACTGAATAACCTTAGAGGAATGGGCATTATTTGAATGGAGCTGGTTACATTTTGACGGACAAACACGCTGTACTTACGAAGAAGACCTCACTAAACACCACACACAGTGACGGTGATTCGGAGACGGCCCCTTACCGTATTCTCTGTGAAATTGTAATCCATGGAGTACTGTAATTTGCCAAGTTTCTCTTCTTCCTTAGGCTCTGCCTCTTTCTCTGTATCCGTCAGCCCTGTTTCCGCATCATCCTCATCCTTCAAGGCCTGAAGGAGACACCCACTAACAGTCAGTCCTGTCGGCCCAACGCTGGCGCAGCCCGATTGCCCTCGCCAGAGCGCCGGGCCAGCCCTGGACCAGCCTGCTCTTCAACCGCACCTCTATTAGGGGGGAGCAAGCACTAAAACACCACAGCAATTAAGACCATGACATGCTCAGTGATGCACTAGACTTGGGCTGTGAACCCCTTTCTCTCCTATGGAAAGTCGTGGAAAGAGTTGCAAGAAGATGAATGAGTGCAAGCAGTTTAGGTTGGTGGGAGGGGCAAGGCTAGGGCTGGGGGGTATGAAAATATATCGACAACGCATATGGTACTGTATATCGCTATTTTACAATGGCTTCGAACTTGGCTCATCCAATCATGTTTATGACGTTTTACCCTTCAGACTCTTCATGGAGGACTGGAGGGCATTGGTCCCTTTAACATGAAAGATTAAGTCCATAAAGAGGCTTATTATTGCGTTATAAATTATTATTATTATTAATGTTATGTTAAATATTAGTATATAGTGCTTGAATTTTTATGTATATTGAGAAATATAATACTGAGTTTGTGTATATTATATTATGGCACAGTTATGTTCACTTAGTTGTTTCTGCATAGATTCCAGACTAATAATGAATTTGTTACTAATAATCTTATATATATTTAATCTTCTAATTAATCGCAATCTTCTTAATAATTAATTAATTATGCATCCATAATAAATAAATAAATACAATTATTGAAAAACATTGATAGTTATGTAATATTCAAAACATTATAAGAAAAAATGTTCATCGTGTATACCGATACTTTGATACAAAATGACTCTGTCATACCGCCCAACCCTAAGCAAGATGAGCAGACAGATGTTCTTAAGAAATACATTGTACAATACATTGACCTTTATGCTATTCCAGGCAGAACAATCTCTGGCATCAACAAATCAGTGGGGAAATGTTGTGGATGGTGTGGCAGTAGCTCCCTAGCTAGCCTGAGTCTAAGACGCTGTGTTAAGGGAAAGTCGGGTGAGCTTTGTTGTCGCTAGAAAGCATGCGATTGTTGAGGCAAACTCAGCTCTCGGTTCATTCACTGTGAAATAGTTGCCTTCTGAAAGGGCACTTTTGCTCATCTGTAAAGCATGCAGGGCATTCACGTTCTCAAGAAGAGTGCTCGTATAGTGACCCTCATTCTCTGTGACGTGATCTTCAACACACACAGTGGCGTTGTCATGACCCTTAGTTATTGGTGATAACCACCACGCTCATGGAAGCTGTAAGCATCATGCCAGCAGAAGGTGTTGGTGGGAGGGATCATATTGTGTACAGGGCCTGTCTTATTAGTTGTTGGGTTACAAGTGTGAAAGCAGAAGGCTGAACAAAATTGATTTCTTTACTGTCTTATCTCCTTCTAATGACCAGACTAGTCTCACAAGCACTTGTGCACTTCAATTCAACAAGCTTTTCGAGGTGCTTGTTAAATTTAAAGGCATAGCTCATTCAGAAATCATTTATTCTCCCTCATTTGTTGCTCCAAACCCATATGAAAGCAGAACACAAAAGGAGAAGTTTAGCAGGACATGTGACATGTTCTTTTCCGTGTAATTAAAGCGGAGAGGGCTTAAAGGCTAGTTAGCCAAAAAAACAACAACAAAAAACAGCAAAAATCTTGCTTGACGTATTATGTGGTCACCATTCACTTTCATTGTAGGGAAAACAGCAGCTAGGACATTCTGCTAAACATCTCCTTTTAAGTTCCAGGGTAAAAAAGGAAGTCAGACAGCTTTTGAACAGCATGAAGGTAAGTAAATGAAGAAATATTTTATCCCCTTAAATGATTATTTTTGGAACTGTAAATGATTAACACTAGTTGGTATTTTGCAGCTGTGAGTGTCCTTTATTGATACCCTTTACATCAGACTGGCAAAGCTGATGTTTCAAAAACATGTCAGCCAATTAAAGATCAGTCTGGTCATCGTGTCTGAAAATTGCTTCTTGAACAAATTTGTCCTGCTAATGAGGTGGGTGCTGTTCTCCTTCAGGACATTTTTCAATTTTAGGTTCAAGTGGACCAGATGAGTACTGATAATTTGGCCAAGGGCAGTCAAACAAGCCGAACGCATCACTAGCCGTTTAGCAATCCGTACTTTGACAGTTCTCTCAGCCATTTCACTTTTCTTTTAAATTGGTAACTTCACTCAAGCAATTTCCAGTTGCTTTTTTGGACATCGAATGAGAAGCATGTTTACAATGAGAAATCAATGTGGTTCAACCTTGCTGGAGCGTACCCAAGTGCATTTTTTCTCTTCATATATATGTGTATATGTAGACTTACACACATATATATTGTAGATATACATGTACTGTGTGCATAGTTACATATATGTTACTCTACTAGAGTAAACCTGTTATCAAGAGGCTATTAAAAGTCATTACAGCAGGCTATAGAAGATCCAACAGCAATTGGGAACCTACCGCCAGTGGCAATCCCGTAAAGTCATCAGACAAAACATAGATAAGGAGGACATGGAAGGAAGAGACACAAATTAAAACAACCACACACAAAGGTGACCACATGATTCTGGGCACACCAGGAGAAATGACTGTTGAGAAGCTCAAAGCTCCTTCTGCTGACAATAAAAGATGTATCTTGTGCAGGACATTATACTGCCAGATTGCTCCGGATTAGTGTGTATCATTCAAATACCTGTGCTAATTGGTTAAATAAGAGTGAAGATTCATTGACCTTTAATATTTAGCCCATTAGCACAGGTATTAGAAACTATATATGGGTGTTTCCCTGCTAAAAACAACAGGTTAAATAAGCTTAAGTTGGTTTGTTTAGTCTTAGCTGGTTTAGCTGGTTGTCTAACCTGTCTAAGATGGTCTTCAGCGACCCAAACTCCCTCTAAAACCACCAAAGAAACAAGCCTAACCACCTTAGGCTGGTTTAAATTGTTTTATTCAGCAGGGTTGTGTTTCAAAATATCGATTACTGTATATGTATTTCAATGGCTGCAGTTATTTTTTTTTAAACACCCATTTTGAATGTACTAAAACACAATGTTGGTTTGTAAACATCATATAGCAGTTATTGTATATCTGCTTATCACCAACAAGTGTTCGCATTTGGTTTGACGCTGATAAACTGTGACATTCTGGAATGGCACACTGGGTTTTTAAAAAGTGTTGTTAATTATCTGTGTCTGTTCCTCTTCACTGTGCTTTGTGCTCGAAAATCAATGTCTCTAATTTGGGATCTGAGTGGTCTTGGCATGGTCTCAAAGCCAGTGTCCTTACACCGTGAATTAAGCTGACTTTGTCAATTATTCTGTTAGAAGTGTACTATTGCGAGCTTGTTAATACAATTAACATGCTAACTAGGGTTAAAGTGCCAGTGTTCCATATAATTTGTGTGTGTGGGAAAAAGCGAGCTGCATTAATGTTCTTTCTCCTATTTTTTTCCTTATCTACTGTCATTTCTCTGGGTTGATACCACTTCATAGCACAGTTAACCATATGCAGCACTACAAAAACTGTGAATTAAGTTAAATGCAAGAAAAACAGAAAAAAACTCAATACTTTAATGAACCGTTAACATGCCCAGGTTTGCAGTCCTGCAATTAAATTCAGCTGTGAAACAACATCATCAACAGATGACTCGATCTAGATTGAGTTGTCTTATGAATATTCTTAATTAGCATTGTACATTAATAAAATAATACTTGAGGAAATAATTATTTCGTGCAACTGCTGACCACTAAAGAATAAGGCTAATCCAAAAATAGTAACAAATTGTTTTTACCTCGGTTTTGACACCGTCTGTGACGTCCTTCATGTTGATGGCATTCTTGCCCTTGTCTTTGCCCTTTTTCTTGTTCTTCTTCTTGAATATCCACTTTTTGCAGATGCAGAAGCAGCAGGAAACAACTAGTACAACAGCAACGAATGCGATGGCGACGATGGCCCATGATGGCACTGTGCAGACAAAAACACAGAGAAAACATTCACTACATTTCAAATCTTCTGAAGCTATATAATAGCTTTTTTGTAGGAACAGACCTAAATTGTTGTTATTCAAATCTGAGTTTAATACATTACATTCACTGTATGGAAAAGAGCAGCCAGGATATTCTATCAAGTTTCTCATTTTCTGTTACACATAAAAGCCATATGGGTTTCTAAAGACAATAATTTGTAATTTGAGGTGAACTATTTCTCTTTTAAACTTTCCCCATTTATGTAGATAAAAGCTGCACTAGCATGACTGAAAATAGCTGTTCTGTGACCGGACTGAGCTGACGTGGTTCCAAATAGGCATGTTGTTTTACAGAGCAACAAAGAAACGTAACAGGCTCTAAAGGGAAAAGTTTCAGTGTGTTGGTTGACACTCTTTGATCAATTGCCAGAGACCTTCATGTCTGCCGGTCGCACGGGATTAACGATCTTCACTCAGACAGAGATGTTGCAACGCTCTAGTGAGAGTAATCAGCCAATTTAGCTGAAAACAGGAGCTGTTGGCATTCACAACTTGCCATTTGATCACTCTTGGAAGACATTTTGAGCTTGACATTCTTAACGCAATCACCCTGAGCACAGGATTTATTTGATTGTCAAGGACAGCATGGAACTACATAAACGGAACGAAAATACTCTGAAAAGTATGACGTTTAATAAGATTTGGACTTAATAAACAAAAATGTATGCACACTGACCAAGTTGCTCTAAAAAATATTTGAGAGCAATTTACATCCATACAGCATAGTGATGGACATGTTGTAACCTAAAATAGTATGTGCTCTTCTGGTCATGACTTTATAAACACAGCTCCGAACTCCAGCGAGCGCTGTCAGGGGAGGACAATCGAGCTTCTCAGCTTTTCGACAAGATTAACAGCCTCCTGCCAAGAGAAAGAGCGACGCCTCTATACAGCAGGGCTAAAACTGCATGCGTCAACAGAGCACGAGCACCAGATACAAGAATGTCAGTTTCCTAGACTCAATAGAAGCATCCTCCCCAAACCCACATTTGCTGGGAATAATTGGTAGACAGATGTGGTAGAAGAATCCTACATTCAGAGACACGTACAGTAATTACCTCTTTTGCGCACAACACAACAAACACCTGGCAACCAAATGGCGACTTTCAGGGAAGCAGATTTCTTCAGAAAAGACGACGATTTTTCCACTCCAGATTTGAATGTGCTTGATTTGCTCTGGGACAATGAAGAGTCAAGGACTGTATAAATAATGCCAGACTCCAGTGAACAAAAGACATCTTGTATGCATAATTTGGGAAACATGCAAGCACTCAAACATGATATGGCACATCTCAAGAAACCGGTCAAAGTCATATTTCACCTCAAAATTGAAAGAAAGAAAGATTTTTTTTGGTGCTATGTGTTAATGAGAATTACTTAAAAACTTTATTATCTATTCTCATGGAAATGTTGGGGTTGGATGTGCTTAACTGCCCTAAAATTAATGTCACAATCAAATCATAGTGGATATCTATAGGCGTCATATAATATCATGTATTATTATTTTAATAAGAGGTATAATTTAATTGATTTGACATATTTCTTTTTTCTTTGTAATATTGGGTAAAATGTGATCTGTTTTTCATAAGATTCATTCATTTTATATTTCAAATGAAATTCCAGCCAGAACAGTTGGCATTTAGAACATGTCCAATATCCGGACAGCTTTTTTTTTCTTTTTCTTAAACGTCCTCAATTTGAAACATCTTTTGTTTCTCTTATCGTGAAGACTTTATATTTGATTTGGCAGTAGAGAAACATTAAAATGAAGGCTGCATCTCTATCTCCTAGGAGGGTTAGACTTGCTACCACAGGACACATTTCCCAAAGCCAGGTCCAAAGGGAGAGAAAACAGGGTGCGAGAGAGAGAGAGAGAGAGAGAGAGAGAGAGAGAGAGAGAGAGAGAGAGAGAGAGAGAGAGAGAGAGAGAGAGAGAGAGAGAGAGAAATCAATTGGCTGTTGACAAAATCGATAAGCACTCTCCTTTGAGGAAAAACAGTGAGTGATAGTCTAAAGTAACTTTGGGATCATCAGCCCACGGCCTCGACTTCGCTGTGGGGTAATGGAGGTGACAATCCTCCTCTTTTTTCCTTTGTCTTTCCTTCCTAGCATAACACCCTTCACTGGACTTCTTCAGTATATTCATTTATGAAAACAAAACAAAACAAAACAAAACAAAACAAAAATTGGTTTTAGCTTATGGACAGACATCTGGTACCTTCCCAGATGGTTAATTCAAAATTAAGAGCAAATAACTGGGATCCCTAGTGTGTTTCTCTCAAATGGTTTAGTACACTTATTTCAGATGCACCAAAATATTACTACTTTAAAAGCATTGATTGGTTCAATATCTCGAACAGCTGAGTAAATGTGTTTTGCTCATTTAACATAATATTTTGGCATGGTGTGAAACTTGACAAGAAAAAAAAGATCATATGAAGAAGAAAAAAAACACACAACAAAAACTCTCACCAGGCTTTCAAAAAGCTTTTTCCAGAGCCCTGTCATTTCAACCCTTTTCAAACAGAGGAGAATGTGTCAGCCATCTTAAAGGCCACTTTTTTTGGTCAGTTGCCCCATTTTCTTTAAAAGCTTGTGGCTTAGACCATAATTGATCCTGTCTAGCATCAGACCCATGCTTGTATAGCATCGGACCCCTGATTCATACCTGTTATAACCTGCTCTCCGGCCCACACTCTTTTCTCCACCACTAGCCTGAATATCAGCCCACTAGGGGAATAAAGAGCCCCTTTCATTTCTATGCCTCCTCTAGCACAACGCCTGCCACATGGGACTCAAGCTGCACAAAGCATTGAGCCGTCCTGAGTTCAGACCAGCCAGTGCTCTTCAGTTCTCTTGGAGTACTATCATTATTAGACGTGTCTCGACAGCGGTCTCATGGAAGATTATATTACTGCGTTTCATTCAGTGTCCTATTGAATGCTATGTGAAACTGGACTTTCAATTTGGGAAATCTGTCAGTCCACAAGTCACAGATTTTGCCAAGATAAGTGTGCATGATGTAACACAACAATGTCGAGATGTACACAATTAATTACAAACTTTCACTTTCAAGCTACTGTAGGGCTGAGCAATATGGGTAGAACTCTTTACTGCCCTAGTACTTCAGAAATCCTTTTATATGTGAATTAAATGTGGCCTTGTGTTCCGATTATTGGATCAAAATAGCAGCGTAAGCCTTACACTACTGAAATTTATATAATATTAATTTATAAGAGTCAAATAAATATGAAGTTCCCTCAAAGAGATTCTATTGACTGAAAGAATGTACACAGTAAATTTTGTTTGTTGAAGTTTGAAAGTGTGAAATTCCGACTCCTCATGTCTGATTAGAAATTATTTTGTGTACTTTTAACTATGTATATGACAATATTGCTGAATTATATTCACCTTATTTTGTAAGCTTCTTTATGTAAATGTGCAATATTTTGATTCAGTATTAACTATAGGTAAATAACTTTAAGAATAAAAAAGTGTAGTAAGCATATTTGCACTACAAACCAGAATACGATTAGAAATTAAAATAATATTATAAGAAATACAGTACCAGTTTGCAGTATCAAAAAGCATATTGAGCTAATTTGCACAGCTAAAATAACTAGAAGCGGATGACACCGGAAGCCATTCAATTTACAAATGGCTGTTCCCACTCTTATGTTCAAAAAATATGGTGGATACAGTAAAATATTTCATCCTCATGCTATAAATCATACAATTAAACATGATTCATATGCAACTGAAAATTTTGATTATCTAGAAGATACTATGAAAATAAGATTAAAAACCTCTTGGTTCCAAGTGCCACAGGATACTGCAAAGGGACAGAATCTCGCATGACAGCGGCAAGCACATACAGGTCTGTAAAGGTCGATGATGAGAACCATTTAGTGCTACAGCAGACACTGAGCAATTCTGACACTTTTATAATGAAAGCTTATGAAAAAAATTATGTTTAATACAACAAGCACAGCTTGAGTCTGAGTAAATTGACTGCTATGAGTACATTAGCTGTATTTTTAATCACACAGTCTGCTGTAGCAATTAGATTACTTTTATCACGGAAGAGAAAAAACCCCCAAAATAAAATACTTCTCATATCAAGCCTAGTTATTTAGAAGTAAAATTGCATCGGTTGAGCACTAATAGATGCGAATAAGTCTAATGTTTCGCCGTCCAATGCAATAAACCAGAGTGCTTATCTTCTTCATCAAGCAAATGTCCTATTCTGAATGACACTTTTGTGTTTCTTAATTAAAAGATCTCGAGACCCAGAAAGCAATAGAAACATTTTCTAATTAACTCAATTGTGTAAGTGTCTATTGTCCTTTGGGATTGCAGAGCAAGCATGTGCTCTTCAACTTCCAGCAGCTATCTTTCGTTCCGCCGTGCACATGCACACACAAACTCTCAACATGGAGCATAAAATGAGGTTTTGTAGCTGGACTCTGTGACTGCACAGCCAATCACAGAGGAACATTATTCCAATTCAGCACCGCTGTGGTGCACAATCCAAAGCCAAATACAGCTTAGAACAATGACACGACTAGAATGTGGATGCCAAAGAAAGTCTGCCATCTCGCTACAGCTTTCAAGGACGCGAAGAGTCCTTCCGGCCCAATCTCATCCAATTGGGTATGTGAATAAGATCTTGAGTGCACTCATTCGCTCTCCACCTTTTCTGTGACAAAAGAATACAGCATCAGACTTATCAAACTGGGCTCACACAAAAATATCACCAAGCTGCTTTAGGAAGCCATGCCAGGGAGTCGACACAATAATGACTCTGAGATTGGCATCTTAGATTTACAGAAGAATCTTATCGCATTTTTGCAGTGCAGGACTGCAATAGATGGGCTACCGCATTATAACTATGGCACATGAAAACATCAGAACTATGCATGTACTTGACAAAATTCTC